TGGCACCTCTCTTTACTTGGCCACCAGAGGCACTCCTGATAGAGAAGAGCGTGGGGGATGGGGTGGTAGAAGGAGACACACTAGGAGACTGGGCAGGAGATTGGGAGCTCGGGGAGCAGGCCGGGGTTGGGGTGCAGCCCGAGGGTTTCAGCGTATTGTCTGGGGATTGGCTCCTGATAAGCGATGCCTTGACGGTAATGGTTTGGTTTGTTGGTTTTAGCCGAGAACTTGGAGAACAAGCACGATGAGGGGGGTTGGATTCAGACGTTTCTTGATCTTCTTCCTGGGTCTTGACATTGTCCTTTACCAGGTGCTTCAACCCTCCTCTGGAACTTTGCTGTCCCTTTGTCCCTCTCACATCAAAAGGATTATTTGTCGATGTACACGACTTCAGCGCTTCCTGCTCTTTCAGCTGAAACTGCTCTATCTGTTGTTGAATAGTCTGAAATCCACAAGCGTCTTCACCTGATGATTCCTTGCTGTCCGATTGCTGTGCATTTGAAATGAGGGGCTTAACTTTAATGAGGTGTACTGGTGAGATCTCGACAGTCCTCCTTCAGACACAAGCCCGACCTTGAGCCAACGGTTTCTATGTTGTAGATCCGGCTCATGGCTGGAATGGAGTTGGGATGTGGTTGCAGAGAGGAGTTTGATTGTACAGAATCCAGAGGCGATGGATAATCCTCCGCTTTTACCTCTGCGAGTTCCTTTCCCTCCTCTGCCCTTTCTATTTCTTTGTTCTGTTCCTGTTGGCTTCTGTGGCGCCTCAGCTGTTCCTCCACATGTTTTATGGGGTCGTCCTCATCTTCAGTCGTCTGGAAGCTGTCAGAAGTACCTTCGGTGGCAGCATACCCACTTGTTACTTCCTCCTCTCTGGCTGCTTGCGAGTGTGGGACAGAAACGGGAAGTTGGGGGTTGGTTTTCAACACATCGACTTCCTGTTTGACGTCAAATGCCGTCATGGATGTCTGCGGTGCTGTATCTTCCTGTCCCCTCTCTGCTTCAACCGACCTCTTCCGCATACGAGTTGCAGCTTCACCCTCTTTCTCTATCTCATTTCCCCTCTCGTCACAACTGTCCCCAGCTGTGTCGTTTCTCTCTGCAACTTCGCCTCCATCTTGTGCCTCTTTTTGCCTCAGCCCCTCCAGCTCTCTTTGTCTTATTTTCTCTCGCAAGGACTCGATGCGACTTAACGGTTTTCCTATCCTCCAGCTATCCCTCCTCTCAACACCTCTACCTGCTTCCCAGTCTTTCCCCTCGTCGCCTTGACCTTCACCCTTGTTTTTCTCGTCCATTTCTTGCGCGACATAAAACACACTTCTGGGGATTTGAATCTCAAGGGGACCTGGGGGAATCACCGTGGATGCAATCCTTTTTGGAGATCTAGGGGTAATATGATGAACAGGGTTCTCAGAGTCATTATCACTGGACGTTTGCCCCTCCTGTTTGCTTTCTTTAGGCATTTCATTAGCAGCTTTACATGCCCTTTCTCCCTTCTCAGTGTGATAAACTGTTGTTTCTCCAATTCTTTCTATTTTACTGAGAAGTTCCTCTGTTTGTTTGGACAAAACACTGTGTGAAAGGTAAGATCCTTGTGGCCCTACACCACTCCACTCTGACCCTGCATGGTTGTCTCTTGCCCTGTCTGTGACTGCACAGAGAAGATTTGTGCAGTCTTTGAAAGCCGACTCATGTCTGTACTGAACATGCCCTGGAATAGCCTGCTCTGCTGATGCGGCCACATTACTCTTCTGCAAACTTTCAGTTTGGATGAAGCTTTCAAATCCGTCTTCTCTCCCTAAGTCGGACACCTTTTCAGCCTGTCTTTCAAATCCTGAATCTTTTTCCCCAATCAGCTCCTTCTCTGAACTTGTTTGACCCTTGACTTGCTTCGTTTCTCTTTCAGCTCTTGTCCTCCCATCCTGCCTGATTGGCAATCTCCTGGCAAATGAGATTCCCTCCGTGTTTTTAACAGAAGCCACCGTGAACCCCTCATCTCCATCTACATCGCCATCTTTTTCCGCAGCCCTAATGTCAAAAGCCTCGACTTTCTTGACCTCACTCCTGTGTTTGATGTTGACTTCTGAGTCATTTTTCCTCTGCACAGGACCTCCTTTTTCCTCTTTATTTTTACAATGTTTGTCTCTGTCTTTTCTGAACCGGTCTTTATCTAAAAAACGTGTGTACCCCAGTTTGATCTCCTTCCCTGCTTGGTCGACCCACGGTTGCATACTCTTGTCTGAAAGTATCCTCTCGCGCACATTCCTCTCATAATACCCATCGTCATCCAAACCATTCTCCTTTGCAGAAATGACCCGATCAGAAAAGCTAAAAGAGCGCTTTGGCACACCTTTCAACGATGTATTCCGCCCATCTGCCCTCCTCTCCTCAGATTGTTGGTCATTGTCCTCCTCTGACAATTTTCTTCTTCCGGGCCGGAGGAAATTATCCGAGCTTTTGGATCGAGACGGGGGCTTGGGGTGCTCCCCGAATTTACTCAGCAGCTGGCTCACCCTCCCTCCTCTTTCAACAAACACGTTATCGTCCACACTGTCCTTCGTGTCATCTTTAATGACCGTTGCCTGACCCCACGGTTTTTCTTTTTCTTTTTCTCTTTCTTTTTCTCGTAGCCAGGACATGTCTGTTCTGAGCTCCCTGCACATACTCTCCCTCCTTCCATCCACGCTGCCCTTAATCTCTCCATCCTCTCTGCCCAAACTTTTATTCCCTCCTCCTCCTCCTGGGTTCCTCTCTTCAGGACTCGACGAGGGCTTTATGATCAGAACCTCAGACGCTCGGATCTCAGTGACACATCCGCCTACTGACAGGATCTCCCTGAGGTTCATCTTCATCCCTCTCTTGCCCTGGTTGTCCTCCTCAGGTCTTTCACTCTCTGCCTCCCTCCACCTTCCCCTTCTCTCCTCGTTACCTTTCCTGTCCTGCTCGATGATGATGATATTGTCTGCTCGGATGGTCCGAAGACAAGGGACAAGAGCAGACGATGAACTATTCAGGGGATCGGTTTCTGTTTCCTCTTTTCTGACTTTGAGTAATTCCTGCTCCCTGGCTTGATCTTTAGCCGAGTCTTTCCACTGACTTTTATCTTTCTCCCATCCCTCCCTGGGTTTCTCTTGTTCCCTCCCCTGACTCCTGTCCCGGCTCCTCTCCATTTCCCGTCCCTCACTTAAATCTCTGAATCTCTCTTTCTTTATCTCTATATCTCTCCCTCTTCCTGACTCCACTTCTTGACTCCTGGGGCTCGATTTGTCTTTGTCCCTCTCCTTAGCTTCCTGCTCAGTCCCTGCTTCTGCGTCTCTCCCCTTCCTCTTTGCACTCTGCGTGCGTATAAATGGATTTTCATGGACTGGAACTATTGTTTCTACAGACACCTGACTCGCTGGTTTAAGCTCTGCCTCCAGCCACTGCCCTGGATCTGGACTAAGTGACAAATCACTTCCAAAATTGACCGTTATGAAGCTGTCTGTGTCACTCAGACAATCGGAGGGACACCTTGCATCCACCTGCAGCAGACAGACATCCCTGTCCTTCTCTTTGTCGCCCAAACTGTCCTGCTTCGCCTTCCTCCTCTGGATGATCCCTCGCTTCCAGGCAGGCATGCTGGCAAACTTGGCCTCCTCCTCTTTCTCTCTCCTCTCGCGCTCCTCCTCCTCTCTCCTCTTTTTCTCCAGCAGGAGTTGCTTCCATTCCGGCAGAGAGGAGACAGACATAACAGAAATCGCTTTTGGACAAGGTGGGCGGGGACGGTCTTCACAGCCTCTGGGAATGTTCTGCGTAAGAGGAAATTAAGTATGAGTTCTCTATAAAACAAAATAACAACGTATAAACATATTTACACCACCTATAGTGACCTTTGAAGTCATAAAACACTAAAAACCCATCAACCCCACAACTTTCATGTTAACTTTACAGTCAATTTTGTTTTATTTATTATTTTACCAATAACCTTCAGTTCTGTTTTACCTGTGGTTTACTACTTTACACAAACTCAAGGTTCCTCAAATGAACTAAACAGAACATTGTGAACGTGTTCTCTACTTTAGTGAAATATTTGTGATAAAAGTGTTGAATCAAACTCACCCAAAAGACCTCACTGTATCATTTCCACTTGTGCGTCTTGGCTGTGCGTAAGGCGCTCCACTCCTCGATGAACACTCCCCTGTGCCAATAACTAATAGATGTATCTATGTTGTCAACCCTAAGGGTTTAAAAACGCTGTCCGGCCCAGTCAAATCACTTCCCAACCTGACGAAACAACAGAGATGGAAAACGCCTCCGTCGTCAGAATAGTAGTAAATATTTCCAGCCTCAGAGCGGCAGCACTGTAATCCGATAATTACATTAAATTCCGTCAGGAGAGTTTAGTGGCACACACCATATTGTCGGACCTAAGAAAAGGCGTTTAAAGTACACAGCCGTCTGCCCGGGCACCACCACCACCAATCCCCCACCCAGCCCTCCCCCCTTCCCTCGTCTCATCCCTCCGTCCCGCTGCGCTAATTGGAAAAGAGGTGGAGGTTAAGGTTGAGGGGGAAACGTGCTGTGATGTCACAGCTACAGGCGTTTAGCAGACCTGATCAGACGTTATGTAGCGTGCTTCCAATAACGCCAAGTCCTGATAAAATGAGTTTTAACAGGACTAACATTAATGTCCCCTGCCTTACCCATTTAAACCCTCATTAAGACAAAATATACAGCAGGCTATATATTTATTTAATTCCCATTTACAGCATATAGTTCTGTTTACATGTGTTAGTCCGATCACTGGCCACACATATCTACTCTTTTTATCTACTTTGTTATTTACCTTTTGTCTTTAAATGGACACTTCACATTTTTGGTTTAAATATTTTGTCTACCTGCAGCTTTGAATTGCAAATGACGTTTTTGAATTGAACTGGGTGTACCTAACTAACCACAAAACTGAACTAATGTATGCTAAACAAGACCTGACAAGTGGAATAAACAGACATAATACGCTGTGACACGAGTATGTACTACATTTATTCAACATGGTCTTGAAAATGCTGCATGAAGTGAATCCCCCATGTAGAGACAGGTGAACTAACACTCACATTCAACGTACAAATCAAATATTACACCACTTTAAAGTCAAGACACTCACACACAAACATTCAGGAAAACACTTTTCAATGAAGTTACTCGGGTTATAAAGTAAGATGAATTGTAACAGATAGATTGGGAAAAAAAAGACATTATGATGTTTGTGTTTCCAAAACACAATCAAAAGCAAGTTAAGAAATACATTCAATACCTCAAACATTCAAAAAGGGTTGTTTTTAAACTGTAGCTGCATTTTTCTAAAATTCAAATCTGCATTTCATGTTTTTAATTGTGTGCAATTCTATTTCCATATTCACTTATGGAGAGAAAAACCTCACATCATCCCTGCAGTAGCACATTGAATGTAACAGTTTATGACAATATATGACATGGTAAATTATAATAAAATTTTAAAGTTATATGTTGAGGGTTCATTTCAGAATGTAGTGCAATAACTGTTTGATAAAATAAAAATAAAATCTCCACACATGCAATTAAAAACAGTAAATACAGTGTTTAGCGGCTTGTGGTCATATATTATTTGCAGTAAATAACCTGAGCACGTTTGTTGTTTGTTGTTCTTATTCAGCACAGCAGATTACCAGACTCAACATTTCAGGTCAATAGTTAGACAGCATTCAGCTTCTCATCACAGCAGTGACAGGACTTTCACTTCTCCGTGTGGTTGCCGTTGTCCCGCTCTGAGGTGTCAGCGCTGCCCCGCTGCGGCTCAGTTAAGATCTGCATCTTACTGTTGAAGTGAGCACACATGTACGCTAAATCCTGTGTGTCCAGGGAGTGTGCGAAAGCCAGGTAGGTTGACAGAGTCCCCGCCAGCAGGAGTCTATCCAGGGACAAACAGGGCAAGAGCCACAGCACCACGCCCAGCTCAAGACACACGGGGTGACGGAGGTGAGACAAGAAGCGCTGAGCACCCGGTGACTTTTGAGACAAGGGGTCGCCTAAACCGAGGCACTCATAATACACCTGAGAGAACAGAGGGACGCGTTAGATTAAGAAACTGCACCAATCATGTGTCAATTTTCTCCCTTTATTTAACTGATGTACGTATGTTTGAGTTTTAACTTCTTGTTATTTTTAATAATTATATTAAATTGTGTTTTCTTGAGCTGTTGTAATGAAAAAAATTCCCCCATGGGGATCAATAAAGTTTATCTTTATCTATTCATGTAACTTCTAGAGGTTCATTGAATTACTCCCACAGACAACACAATCCCTGTCACACTCAGTTTGTTCTTCAATAAAGACATTATGATCAATATTTATTTAAATGTTATTAGCTGTTCTCCGGTTGTGTTCTTTTTAATTAAAATTCCTGATTTTGCACTTTTTGTGACACACAGTTAAACCTCACTGACGGCCCAGCATTCTCCAAGTAAATTAAAATGATCATAAATTACTTAATATAGAAGATGATGCTTGATACATTTTAATCAGCAACAAAATAAAAATCTTATAATAATGTTTCCATCACATCAAAAATTTACAAAATCAGAGCTCGGACTTAATGTGGTTATTTTTTTATAAACTTTTAAAAAGGACTGTATTTGTATTCACTTATAATAATGTAGATTTTACGCTACTATTACAGTAACGCTGCAGATTACAAAGGAGATGTTTAATAAAAAGTTAAAAATGTTTTCCAAAAATGTAAATTTGTCTCTAGCTTTGTAAAAGTGTTTTTACACTTTGTACTTTTGTTTTACACTTCCCAGCCACCGTAGATTAGCCTAAAATAATTGAGATAAGCTTAAAAATGTAAACTGTTAAAAGTTTGTTGTAAGATTGTTAATAAGAAGTCTGGTGGCCTTGTGTTTAGGATACATAATCTAGGTTTTATATTCACAAAATAGAGAATTCAACTGAACCTGGTGTTTACTGTTTCCTGTTATGTAGACAAAGAACAGCCCACTAATGAATACCTGTTTACCTGCTTGACGCCCAGCAGTTCTGGGCAATCAAAGATCATGAGGATGCTGCAGATGATTGTCCAGCAGAGGAAGTGCAGAGTGAAGCAGAGCAGAGGAAACCAGATATTCCAGGGTGCATGACGTACCGACCAAAGACAGGGGGCGCTGGTCACAGGCTGCCAGTAACGCATTAAAATCTGATATGAGAGGGAAAAGAATAATGATGCAGAGTGGTGTAAAGAAACAACATGTCCAATGTTAAGTCAACAAAGCAGTTAAAGTAACTTCATATAACAAGTTAACTTGTCGTCCACAACAGCAGCAGATAAAAGCAGCATTTTATAAACTTTGAGAGTGTGTGTTGCTGCACCTGGAGGGTCAGTGCAGTGGTGAAGCAGTATGCCGTCCTGTTTAGGGCTCCCAGCACTGACTGCAGGGCCTGTTTGACAGGAGACCAGGCCAGCAGACTGTGCTGTGTGGTGAAGAGAGCCAGCAGCCCCAAATCCACAACAAGAGACCAGAGCACAGAGCTGTCCTGCAGGGCCTCTGACCAAGGTACAGAGTCTGAAAAATGTGAATGCAAATGATGTGAACAAGAGAAGAAAGGTCACTTTATTGTAGAGTTTAAATCAGAATAATTTGAAGAAAAAAAAAAACGCTGGTGCAATTGCATGTAATTGTGAGCTGTCCCTGTTAAAATAAGCAATACATTTAGGAGTGGGAATCACAAGAAAATCACAATAGGATATGACAAGAACAGGTTGCTTTGTCTGCTTTGTCAGTGTTGAACTGCTTGATAAGCTTTACATTTGACCACAAGATAGCATGGCTCTGGTTCTGTTTAAATTTACTTCCTTCCTCTGTATGCCGATGGAGTTTGAGTTTCTAAAACTTGAGGTGTAGATTTTGACAGCAAAAGGCCACTAACACAGTGAATTCATCTTTTATCTTTTAAGCCTTACAAGCCTGTAAATGCTCAACTTATTATGTTCAGTAGATTTTACATTTTTAGAACAGAATAAATAAAGTAGGCCTACTCAAATAAAACCAAAGGTTGTATTTAAAGTTGTATTCAGCATATAAATGAATAAATGATGTGCTGGTTTGTCCTTTTTGGAGCCTAATACTGAAGGACACACAAATAGCCTACTGTCCAGCAGCATTCAAGCATTAAACATGCCACAGAAACCTTCATGATAGGCTACATAACCTGGACCCTCTACACCTTCAGCCTACACCTAGACCTCTTTTTCTGTCTCACGAAGCCCCTACCTCTGAACAGAGAAATTCAAAGAAATTCATCGTATACAATGATATTTTTCCTTAAATCTTCTTTTTTTTTTCCTACCCCCTTTATTTTCTTATTGTCTTCCCTTTGTTCGGCTCGAACCGACAAAACAAACGCTCTGAACCAACTCAAATCGAAGTTCGTTTTATTCGTTTCATTAGTTCGGTAGTGAAAGGAGGACTAACAGGACGGTTAATCCCGTTTCTAAGTTTCTACTTGAGTAGAGAGGTTTAAAATGTTCAACAATAAATGTGTTTAAATTCCTATATTTTGATCCTAACAGTAATTCCCACGTTTGAGAAAAAGGAATTTCGCCCAACGTGGGGCTCGAACCCACGACCCTGAGATTAAGAGTCTCATGCTCTACCGACTGAGCTAAAGCTGGGGAACAATAGTCTGTATGGGGGGGGGGGAAGAAAGAGGAAAGAAGGGGGAGAAGGGGGAAGGAGGAAAAGGAGGAAAAGGAGAGGAAAAAGAGGAAAAAAGAGAAAAAAGAGAAAGAAAGAAGAACTCTTAATGGCCCTTCTGCAAGTCAAAAGTTACTCCAAGTCATTAGTTTTCATAAAATTTTAGAAATTACTCAAAATGATGAATATTTTTAGTTTTCATATAGGGGAAGATTGGATCCGAAGGACGGGGGTTCGAACCCTGTCTGGACCAAAACAAACTTCACAAAGTGTTTTGGATTGTTCAGATGAAAAAGTAATTTTAAATAAGAAAACAATACTTGATTCTGTTTAGCATTCAAAATGTGTAGGAAAGTGATATTGTGTTTGTTTTTCATTTCTTCTCAGAAGTTAAGTGGTATTGACATAAGTCATCTAATTGTTTTAGATATAAGACTTTACTTACTAAAAAAAAGGAAATATTATTGTAATATAATTTTTATATTACTGTGTCAAATTGCTAAGAAATAAGTCAAATGTAAGAATTGGAGTAGAAGCACACACATTTATTGAAATATTTCAATTAAAAAATCTAAAAACATTTAAATAAAAGGCACATTTCACATTTTAGGACATTTCCTTTAAACAAAATAATGATATATTTGGCGTTTTAGCCTCTAGCCTCAAACAGACTAATGCTGTAGATTGAATCTGAATCTCTGAACTTGAGATTTTACACCTGCAGCAGACTCTGTGAGTCATGACTGTCTACAATGAGTGGGACACTCGAGTCCAGCTGTGGTTGATTTTCCAAGCAGTATCTACAGCGTGTTTACATGGACGGGACGGTACACACTCCTTATTTGAATGCCATGTAAGCATTTTAAAAAACTAAAATGTGAAGAGACAGACAGGACGGGGCAGACAGAAGGGGAGAACAATAATCATCATTTATTCTCGGCCCTTTTCCTCCTCATTTCTTCCAGCCACTGCTCCAGTGGCATCCCTGCGAAAGTGGGGCAATAAATGTATCCATGAAATTGCCTGTGGCCACTGTCTTTGTTCCGGGGCTGATGGCATTTGCGGCACTTATTATGTTCCACCTGACGATTGTAGGCCTCTGGGAAGGGGTGGAGGGGGAAGAGGTCCATCAGGGGCGATAGGCCTGGGAGAGGGACAGCCAACATTAACAACAAGGGGCTTTGGGCAGGGGTAGGGTTTACAAGGGCAGGAGCAGCTGTAGGCAGAGGTGCAGGCAGGGGAAATAACTGCCTCTGAATGGGCACCTTTGGCCGGACAGTGGCTGGAGCAGCAGTGTGTGGCGCAGCATGCTTCCTTTTTGCCTGTCCTGCAGTGGATTTGGGCAGGCTGTAGACATGCTGAGGTCCACACTGCTGAGGGACAAAGGTGGGGCGCCCTAGAGCTGGTGGCAGAGGCACAGGGGCTACAGGAAGAGGGGCAGGCAGGTTGACCCCCTGCAGAAGGACTGCCAAATCCTGCCTCTTCACTCTATGATTGTGCCACTGTGTGAGGGTGGTCTGGTTGACCTCATACAGCTGGAGAGTGGTGTCCTTCATTAGAGCTCCATTGTCCCTCACCAGCTGCCTAACCTTCCTATAGTCCTTCAGCATGAGAGACCATCTTGTCAGGCTGCCCTTTCCCTTTTTCTTTGGGCTCTTGTGGAGCTGACAGAGCCTGACAAAGATGGCCTCCACAAGCCGACAACAGTCGGGCCACTGTGCCGGTGATCCACTTGACCCCAGGACGCAGCGCCTCATGCTCTCCGCACCGGGGGTGAATTCCAATTTATTTTTTGGTGACCTGAAGTACCCCGTCTTCAGCCTCTCCTGGTACCTGGCTGCATAGACCACCCGCTGCTGGTCAAATGGCAGAAGATTTTGCCACAGTGACAAAATGGTGCTGGTCTGCTGGTTGCTGAGAGTGAGAGACGTCTCATTTCTCAGCCCAACCAGGTACTCTGCCAGGCTGTCCACCCTGTCCATCCCTGGCATGTTATGCTCATCAACAGCCTGGAAAATATAACAAAATTAAAATATAATTATTCTAAATATTCATATTGGCAGGGAAACTAAGAAACAGATGTGATAAAGAATGATGCAGTACATCACACAAACACTTACCAACAGTTGCTCAGATACAGTGGGAGCTGGGGGGGCAGAGGGCATGGTGGTGGTGGGATCTGTGGGGCTAGAGTGCATGCTGGTGATGGGGGCAGGAGGGCAGAGGGCATGGTGGTGGTTGGAGCTGGGTGGCCAGAGGTCATGCTGGTGGTGGAGCTGGGTGGCCAGAGGTCATGCTGGTGGTGGGAGCTGGGTAGCCAGAGTCATGCTGGTGGTGGGAGCTGGGTAGCCAGAGGTCATGCTGGTGGTGGGAGCTGGGTGGCCAGAGGGCATGCTGGTGGTTAGAGCAGGAGGGGCAGAGGTAATGCTGGTGGTGGGAGCTGTGGGGCCAGACTGGCTGAGGGTTTTACCCAGAATAATGTCAAATGTGGGTCATGTCCGCCATCATCAAAACCCTCATCCTCTGGCTCCTCAACAGCCACATCCTCCAACAGTTGCTCCGTCTCCTCTGTTTCAGGGTCAACATTCTGCATTGCCCTTCCTGTCTGGCGGTACAGGTAGTCAATACCTATCAGCTCTCCTGGGAACGAAAAGAGAATACTCATTGCTCATTTCTGAAAATGTTTTTTGGCTTAACCATGGTTGAATTAAACAGAACCATACAACACAACAGAGCTTCTGAGTTTTTAAAAAAGCAGGTTAGCTTCTTCAAAAGACAAAACCGTTGCATGGCCTTTTTAAATATGTACTCTGAGTTAGCTGTTAAACTTTATTATAAAACTCACTCAGTAATGATAATGATATCTAAAAGGTATGAAATAAAACCATTAATTATGATGGGAAAGTGACACACACCAGTATACACTGCAGGGGGTTGGAAGGAGGGGGCAAGTTTCCTTCCAAGCACCTTGACACTGAAGGTGTTGACACAGTGCACAAGGTCCCCTGAGTAGGTGAGGAGTGAGGGAGGTTTGACAGCCAGTGCCGCAGCACCACGGTCCTGGTTCCACCTGTTCAGGCCTTCCAGGAGGTACAGCTGAAAATTCAAACTGTTGGCACTGGTTCCTTAAAATAAAAACAACATATATTTTAAATTCATACAATGAGCTATTTGTACAATGTCAGGTGACACATGTTCTATGCTAAATACTTTATGTCAAAGAGCTAGGTTATACTTAATTGAAACTGACCTGGAATGAACCTGGCCAGGTGGCAGTGGAAGGACTCCAGTGATGTTGAGCCCCTGGCACACCTGTAGGTGGTGAGGACGATGCCCTCCTTGGTGGATGATCCTGTCTCTGTGTAGAGAGGAACACCTGGCTCATCCTGGATGCATTTTACATGCTTCCTCTGCTGTTCCCAGATGTTCGCCATCCTATCCCTGTCCAGGAGTGGCACACCAAGGAAGTCACTGCCCTTCTCCCCCATAAGCTCTTGCAAAAGGAGGTCAATCATTGAGATGGTCTCCTTCTCTCCTCTTGTCCTCCTTCTGCAGTAGAGCACCAACTCACTCTTCCTAATGTTCTGGTTCACAAGGCTATCAGTGATGCCAGGAACCCCCTCCCGTTTCAGCTGCTCCCTCTTGACCCGGCGCAGCAAGGCAACGTCACCTGCATCCCACTCAAATATGCAGCAGGACAGACGAGCCATGAAGATGGGTAAAGGGGATGGGCATCCTTGGTGCATCCTGATGCCAGCCGCCGCATGAAATGATAAATGTCCAGCTTGACCACAACGTCTGGCCAGCCACCAAATCGTGCCTTAAGCTTGGTCTCCTCCCCATCCTTCTTGCAGCATCCACAGTCCACATACAGGAGCTTTGGAGGAGCCACACCTGCTTCCCTGTACCTCCGGATGAGATCAGCCACCATCAGGTCCAGCCCAGAGCCTTCCTGAGCAGTCAGGACACTGATCAAGATCTGACCCACCTCGTTACTAACTGAGGAAAGCCAGAGGGCAGTCCCCTTGGCAATGCCCGATAACTTCCTGGTGATCTGAAAGTATACAGAGGAAACATTCAGTGACTTAGGTCTAACTAGCATATCATTTTGTCTGGTATTGACTTATGTATTTACATTTTGTAAGTATACCATTCTTTTTCAGTACAGTTTAACAGCCTTTTACAGGTAAAATCATTTTAACATTGCGACTTAGGGATGAAGAATATCCCTTTTTAGTCATTTTGTCAGTTTGAGTGATGCTTTGATACACGTTTTTGTAGAATTGTGACATGAGAATAAGAGCAGTGATGAGGAATTGTACCTTCTTTGTGGAGTCCATCTTCAGGATGGAGCCAAAGGTAGATGTAATGCTGGCTTTGATGTGCTCCAGCCTGCTTAAGATGTCCCGCCCGTAGACCGCCAGCATCCACTTATAGGTGGGAATGGCCACAGGCTCAGGCGGGTCCTGAAACACCACAGGGAACAGGCTGGGCCGGCCCACAAAGTCAGAGCATGCCCCAAGGTACTGGCAGAGGCGCTGCAGCCACTCCTCGCTGTGGTTCTCCCTCAGCTGCTTCACCAAGCGAGACGGGCTGTTGCCCAGGGTCCTCTCCCGCAGAAGCGGATGACCCGAATGTCACAAGCATATCTGTATTAAAAGAAAGGGAAGAGACAGAGACATTTAGACAAACACAAAAAGACAGTCCAACCTCTTATAGCAGTCTGTTTCAATTACAGACAATTTTCAAATAAACAATGTAACACAATAATATGTATTCTCATTAACATTTTTTTGTACATGCTCGTTACAGTGGTGTCTTTATACTCACTTCTGAGTCAGGATGAGCCTGAATTCGAGCCGGTGAGCCAGGTCAAGCTGGTCCAGGATGGTCTTGCTGCTGGACAGGTAGTTGGTTTTGCAACCAATGCTGTTGCACCTGAGGGTCTCTGTGACCATCAGGTAGTACCTGTCCACGTCAAGGACCTGACGGGCTCTCTTGTGGGCACCGTATCCCACCAGCTGCTTCCCACACACAGGACAGGTTAGCCTGACCTTCCACAAGTGGTACGGCATCCACACAAGCAGGCGATGATTAAAAAAGCGCTCTGGAGTGGGGCCTGATGGTAGATGAGCGCTGGCCCGGGTGGCTCGTACCACAGCTTCAGGTCGGTCCGTAGCCGCTGGTTTCTCCACAGAGCTGCAGAGATCCATCTCTGGTCCTGGAGGGGGATGGTCATCCTCATCTTCACTGGCAGCCAGGGTAGGTCAGGGCCAGGGGCAGCCAACACATCCTCCGCTGACATATTGCTGAGAGGATCAGGACCAGGAGTGGTAGAGGAGGCACAGACAGAAGGGTCTGAGGAGGCACTGGAGGGAGCAGCTGTTACAACCTAATAATAAACAAATTATGTACAGAAAGACACACACAAATAAAACATTAACACATCATAAATCACTGAACTGCTTAGGTTAGGGTTTGATGTTTGGCAACAACAACAAAAAATTATCAATAGGATTCTTACAGCGGCAGTGGCTGGGGGATTATTGAGGCTGATGACACAGGAGTGGGGGGAAGAGAGAAAGGGGAGCTGGTCCTAATATATTTTCTGGGACTCTGGGCAGGGATGATGTCCTCCCTGATGTTGGTGTTGCAGTGCCAAAGTTTGTGGTGGTACTGGTCGATGTGCTAATAAGGGGCTGAGAGAGAAACAGGAGGAAATACAAGGTTATAAACTAAATCGTGTATCATTATTGGCATATAAGATTAAAATTTGAAGTATAGCTTCAGGCAATAAGGCATTTAAGCACATGAACACACCATTGATCACTGAACTGCTTAGGTTAAGTTTGGCACACAAAATTATTTGTGAACAACACAATTGAAAAGGGTTCTTACAGCTTTAGCAGTGGCTGGGGGATTATTGAAGCTGATGAAAGAGGAGAGTGGGGAAGAGAGAAAGGGGAGCTGTCCTAATATGTTTCTGGGACTCTGGGCAGGGGATGATGTCCTCCCTGATGGTGTTGCAGTGTCGACGTTTGTGGTGGCACTGGTCGATGTGCTAATAAGGGGCTGAGAGAGAAACAGGAGGAAATACAGGCTAATGAATATCTACAAAATCATGTATCACTACTAGCATAATAAATCATTGTGTCATAATAAGACATGATAAAGCATTTAACAAGGAGAAATTATGTCACAAGCATACTATAAATCAAAT